TCCACAGTAGCTCCTGCCATGCGTGCCTCCAGCTTGAGACCACTCCCACAGCGGAGACCTCCGAACTCATGGACTCGCTTCTCTCCGCTGCTATCATACCTCCAGCCCAAAAGATCCAGCAAGGCTGAAAAAGCTTTGTGTGTGCTCGGAGTGAAGGACTGCGGGCCGGGGTCAAGCACACATAGTCATCGAAGTAGCATGAAGTTACTATCTCCACCACGTGGGCAATCCACTGGATCATTCGTGCGCACCTCAAGAAGGCCACCAGCCTTGGCTAAGGGCAAAAGATACTGTACTGCTGGAAACAAGTGGCCCGATCTTCTGCGCAATACCGCAAGGCGGGCCCACTTGAGGGAGTCATCGCTGAGTGCTAGCTGCCGGTACGCGCTTTTGAGGTCGAAGCTCCTGCCGAGGAGCCTAGCAGGTTTGCCCACCTTCTCCAACTCCTTCATGAGCTCGCAGCCATGGCCCCGATAGTGTCAACTCCATCAACCGTACACGGATTTTGCCCTCCGTCTGTACTACAGCAAAACGTGGGTCGCAAGTTGACCACAGAGCTCCCATCCCGTAGGCGCAACACCACTGGCACTAATGTTCAGCACTATATCGCCTGTGAGCCCATGTCGTAGTGCTACCCTCAAATGTCAAAAAGTGTAGAGGCGAATCAAGCCAGAAATCAACAGGAGGTTGTCGTCCTGCTAGGTTGCTGCGCGTTGTCGTGTTTGAGCCAGACAGCAGCATATGACCTGCAGAGATAGTTGGTGGTAGCATGTGTCCAGTCAGCGTGAGAACGAGATAGAATTCAGCAGTTAATCGGGCAGTAGGTGGAGGCAACGTGAACAACATTAGGTGTTTCTACCTTATATCTCTTTTCTCAGTCGTATCCTTTAGAATCAGATAGTGATTGTGGCAACCGGTGTATGTGCGTCTACAACCAAGCAATAAAGTGAAAAATCAATACAGCAGAAATATTAGGGCAACAACGAGCACCACAGCATTCATGCTTACGGGCTGTTTCTTTTGGCCTGCTCTAATTGCCCTGTCACCCTAGTCTTCGCTAAGGTAGATGTCTGAAACACTGAATTGTTCGGACGAGAAGAGGTCATTGATAATGATCTTCCGCGTGGTTCTCTTCCCCACGTTCCTGGCCCTAGGACGTTCTTGCGGTGCAGTTTGGACTGTGTCGGCCTCGAGCGCTTCCTGTTCATCAGCAACTTCATCTCGTCGCATCTGCTCTAAATTCTCAACTACTGTTCCATTTGGATGGCTGCCTCCATCATGACTGCCAGTAATGTGCGTGCATAGTCAAGCTGTGCTTTGCCTCTGGCATTGCTTTGCGGCCTGGGGCAAAGCGGGTACTTGTCCGCAAGACCACTGTTTACTCTTGCCTGTTCCGTCTGTTGCTCTTCCTTGGGGCTTACTGGAGGAGGTACCTCTGAGAAAACTTCATTAAGAGCCTGCATGTCTCTGGCGCTGTACGTGCCTGTAGGGTCGTATTGAGCAGCTGCAATGTGACCTGGGTCCTGGTATTTTCGTTTTCCAAGCGCTCCTTCTTCAATTCGTGTGGCAGGCGCCATGCCATATTTACCTTCGAATCCTGTCGTTACAGTCGAGGTCCCTTTCTGGCCGCCATGTTTCTACTGGTTTTTTGGATCCTGTTTTGGGAGCCATGATGAAGCAGGTTTGTTGGCATTCGAGGCGCTCCAAGGCTTACCGAGCGGCAACCATCAGATAGAAGTGGCCACCACAGAGAAAAGGAAGGCGGGAGTTACAAAACAGATTGCCGCAGTCTTAGAGAAGGGCAGTCTCACACCTCAGGCCACTGCCTCACTGAGAGGTAGGTTGGGATTTGCAGAAGGCCAGCTCTTCGCCACTCGCAAGTTGATCAATGAGTTGGGTGCCCAGTGCCCATGCCTTGCATCCACCTCGCAACACCCTGAGAGAAGACACCCAATCAGGTGACAACCTGCCTGGATTTCAAAAAGCTGTGCCAAAGTTTGTAGGCAACAAGCACGGCAAAGGCCTCTAACTCCCCGATCGCCTCCTCATTCTCAGCCATGACGGAGTCACAGAGCTTGGAGGGGACCTTTTCCCCGAACCAACTCAGCACACAACCATCAGGTCCCATGAGGACCCCCCTTCTCTGGTTTCAGATTCCTCATCCTCAAAGGTTACGCAGCCAACAAATTGTTGAGCTGCATCGTTCACGAGATAGCCTTGCAAGAGGAGGAATTTTTTTCCGTCCAACGCCTCATAGCTCTCGCCAGGTCGTTCATCATGCCTGTAAGACAGTTGCAAATTGACAAATTCGATCAATTAATGCAAAAACGTCATCCATCATCACGATGGCGGACTTCAAAAGTGAACTGAGGTAGGACCAGTATACAAAGTCCTGTTGCTGTCACGATGCCTACAGAAAAAACACAGACAAGAAGCAGAAACAAAAGAAGCTTTGCAAGAGGAGGAAGGGTGCCTCCTGCCATGGTACTCAAGAGTACCGAGTGAGGCGAATGTTGCAGACTTCCCTTCGCATTTGGTAGCGCATGACTTGCTGCCTGAAGAGTTTGAGGGCTGCCCGAGCTAGAAGGTGACACCCTCTTAAAGAAGGGGGAGGTGGAAGAGGGCGTGAGATGCAAGAAGCCTGGGCTTCCCGCATTTCGGTTAGGAAAAACATCGAGCGTCAACATCTGCAGTTGTTCATTGAGCATGAGTGCATTGGAGAATGAATGTGTGTAAGTCTGACATAAAAGAAGAGGGCAGTTGGCGAAGACTCACTGTAACTATCTTTGTTTAACCCTGTGATTGTAAACAAAGCTTGCATTCAGTCGACGATGTCAGTTGAAACTTGGACAGTTTGAAATGGACAGTTTGAAAATTTGTTTATTTGAGTTACTTGCTCAAGGGTGAGGTGGGAGGATTCAACATTGCCCCGCCTTGAGAGATTGGCCCACCCGCCACCCATGCAGCAGCATCATCCAGCAGATCAGCCCTTTGTGGCACTGTTGCAGAGTCTTCAAGGCTTGGCAACCTTCCAGCACCAAGTGAGAGCTACTTTGATTCAATTAGATGAGGTAGGAGACTGTGCAGAAACCTGGCCCTCAATAAATGCCAACTGGCTGCAGCGCATTGAAGCGTCGCGCCAGTCAATGATTGACCTTGACGCCGTCTGTCAGAGGCAAATCAATCAGGTGCTGGAGCCTCTCCACGATCTGTACCGTGAGCAGAATTCCAACCAATACAATACTCAATTTGCCTACCCTACCGTACGGTGGAAGAGGGCGTGAGATGCAAGAAACCTGGACTTCCCCCATTTCGGTGAGGAAAACAGTGAGCGTCAGCATCTGCAGTTGTTCATTGAGCATGAATGCATCGGAGAATAAACGTGTGTAAATGACATAAATATGCCATACTATTTACAAGACAATTATTACATGCACCAACAAACACGTTTAAAATTAGAATGCTTACGGATTTCGTGATTTCTGAAAAGCTTGAGTTTCTTTAGCGTTTGAATTTGTTTGCATGCGCTGAAATTTTGTTTTTGCAGGCTGATCTCTTGGTGATTTCGGCAAATGGTGTTGTCACTTTTGCCACTCGGCACCACAAATAGATGCAGTCCAGAACCACGCAGGGACACGTGATCAAAGTCGGAGGCAGCCATTTTTTTCGAAAAAATGTTAGGAACATTCAAACAGTCTCTTGAGATGTGGCATGTTTGGCATTTAAAGGGCGCTATTGACGCAGTGTTCAGAGTTCAGGCATGGCAGGCCTGACGGGAATTAGAAAGGAATACACAATTTGGTGGCTCAGTCACGGGAAAGAACATCCTGCACATCGCTGGGTTCAAAGAGAGAACATCCGGTTGCAAACGAGAAACTTCAGTGGGCAGAAACATGCTTCCAATCTGTGAGAAAAGCATTCATAGTTCCTGGGGTGAATTGACAGGGGCTTGTGCCTTTGCCATGATCAGCACAAGGACAGTGCCGCAGAGGGGTTGCCTTGATTTTGGACAAACTTGAAGAGGTGCTCATGTGGGTTTGTCCGAAAATGGGGTATGCCCTACCCCAAATTTGTAATTTTCAGGGAGAAAATGATGATCAACAATCAATTGTGTTTTTCGCATTTTTTCGCCAGAGAGCGGGTGCTAATATCGAGTTAGGATCAATGATCCCCGCAAGTATAACAATTCGCCGGCTCTCCCTCAATTGGGGCAATATTAAAGTCAATTACAGGTGGTTTTTGTCCACCCCAATAATGGTTCACCCCCCAATTCACGATACGCTTCCATCCATCGGTCTATGTGCGTATCTTGTCTATTTAGCTGTCTGTCAATCTATTCCTCTGTCTGTCTCTGTCTTCCTCTGTCTGTCTCTGTCTGTCTCTGTCTGTCTCTGTCTGTCTCTGTCTGTCTCTGTCTGTCTCTGTCTGTAGACTTCCTACAAAAATGCAAATTGAAGATGTCAAAACGAAACAATTCAGCGAGACTTCCTGCAAAATGAAGCTTTTCGACCCTACGGAACCACAAAACATTGGAAAAACACAGTGTTTTGCGACTTTCTACCTTTTCGCGCGCCTGTATCTTCTTTCTTCTCTGATCTTCTTGTTTCTTCTCTTCTCTTCTCTGACTCGTCCCATCTCTGCTTTTCCATCTATCCATATTGTCGGAAATTTGATTTTTTAATTTCCTTCGACTAAGACACTGTTCAATGGATCAAACAGCAGTTTTTTTCTGAATGGGTTGTTTACCGGTTACCGTTCCTTGCACTACTCTTTGGTGTTTATCAATAGCTGGGGACCCAATTGAGCAAAAAATGTCACCAACCAATGAGGAAAAAACATGTAACCTAACCTGAGATGTTTGATTCAGCATGATGCAGCCATATGCATCCTCTCATGTTTTTTGCAGCCATTCTTCCGGGGTTTGACTGCCAGATTCAGCAGTTTTTTTTTGGATCAACATATTTTGTAAGATTTAGCCCGGTTTTTCGGCTTGTCCCTTCATGGCAGCTGACCGCACAAACCACACGGACTGCACGGACCCCACGCCTGAACATGGCCACAACGGCCACAACTTGGAGGTCGACTTTCGTGCGACTCCGTCCACCAGAAGCTTGACCTGGCAAGTGCCCGAGAGTCTTGTTCGCGGAATTCCATTTCGGTGCCTCTTGGCGGGAGGTGGACGACCTTTTCGGACGAAATCCGACTCTGCCAAAACTTTAGCAAAACAATTGAAACCCTGTGTTACATATGATGCGTTTATTAGCCATGACTGGCAAACCTCTGGTTGGCTGAAGTATGCATCTCTCTTGTTGCTCTTCAACTCGCAAACTGCCGCCATTGTGACCCTAGTTGTGAGCGTCGCTGGTGGGTTGCTGATTTTTTTATGAATTGTTGCCCAACAGCGACTGGGCAATTTGCATCGGCTACCTCACGTTCATTGTATTGCTGTTGTTTTGGCAAAACATCCGGGACGTTTCCTGGATTTGCTGAAGATTTTTTTTTTGATTCAAATTGATTATATAATCGACTGGTTGGGTTATCTACCGAAATATGTATTGTTTTTGCGGCTCTGAATCCAGCAAATCCAAGGTTTTTCGGAAACCGAAACTTGCCTTTATGGACAAACTGACAATTCCGCAGGAAGATGAGAAATTGAAGGAACAATGCATTCTCGGGCTGGCGGGCTTCTTGCAACGTTCTGAAACGTTGGTTATTCTGTGGTCAGAATCATACATCGGCCGTGTTTGGTGACTTGGCCAAGGATCGAACCTTAACACTTGATATTTTTTGGACATTTTGGTGTTTCAAAGAATTTGGAGGAGTTATTTTGCAGATCCAAGTTGATTTCAGATCTAGCTGAGGTGTGTCTATGAGTTTGCTGCATTTACAAGAATGCATTCAGGAAAGGGAAATGTGCAGGCGGTGCCAGTCACATTCCCTTTGCTTCTTTTGCTGCATGCCGCATGGTGGTTGGCAGTCAACTTGGTGATCTATGTGGTTTGGAACTCCTTAGATTTGGCGCTGCCCATCTTAATCCTGCTGTGTTGGTGTAGCATTGGCTTGTTCTTCCTCATTGGTTTTCCGGTGCAGTCCTGGGCTGGCAGGCGCTTGACGCGGAATTTGCACAGCCTCACGGCACAACTGTCACACTTTGATGTCAATGAAGCCAAGTGTTCATGCTGCTCATGTGGCCATGTGAGTTCCGAGGGGGAGGAAATCCCATGTGACCGCGAATTGATTTATCAGAGTCTCCAGGATTGGTATGGAAAGGACAGCGACGACTTACAGGCGGGGCTTGAGAGATTCAATGCAGTGGTCAGGAATAAGCTCACAGGTCAGATCTTGCAGACCTGGGGTGGCAATGCCGTTCCCGTCAAAATTTTCACATACAGCGTCTTCAGCATGCATACGCCTTTCTTGATCACCAGGATCCCAGCTACCCTATAGTACGCGCAGAATGAATCTACTACGACAGTTGAATTTTGGATCGTAGCAGTGAGAGTCCTGGTGTCCAGTTGGGGCTGCATCCTTGCAGGCATGCTGATCTACACTTGGGCGTGTAAAACCATGTGGGCTCTGGCAGAGAAGCACGACCGCTGTCCTGTTTTGATGACAGCCACTTCCATGGTGCTTGTCATGGCTTCTCTCGCTGCGACATTACTTCTATGCATCCTTCCTGTTTGGGTGACCCCGTCAAACAGTTTGCTTCCACTGCTGCCGTTTCTACTGGTCATGTCTCTGGGGCTGTATTTAGTGAATCGAAGAACCATCTGCATGCCTTCCTTCTCTTCCTGCTCTTCCTGCTCCCACAATGGGAGGCAGCAAAAGGACGGCAAAGACCCCCTTGAAGCAGAATGGGACACTCAGTCTATTTGCTCCAGCTTTTCAATCTGAGTGCAGAGCCAAGATTCGAATGTCTAAATGCTGGCGAAATGGCAACATGCTTTTTGGCCTTGTGAATTTATTGTGAATTTGTTGAACGACCCCCTGGCTATGGCAGTTTCACCAATGAATCAGAGTCCTCCTCTTCTCCAAGAGAACGCTTGGGCAGAGCATGGCAGAGCTATGATTCGTCACACGAAAAGTTCGGATATCGCCCAAATCCATTGGTTTGTCATCATTTTTTGCTTTGTGGACAAGCCCATGCAGCGTTGTTGTGGATTCCAAAGGCTGGTCCTATGAGCATTTCATAAACAGCTAGACAATAAGCAGTTTTGGAGGCAACAACAATCATGCCAAACTGGTTTCTCACATGCATTGGTTCGATTGGCATCCAAGCTTTTGTTGTGACCGGCGTTGTCAACCCCATCAACCTCTTCATGGTCCGAAAACACCAGAAAAACCATTTATTTATTTGTTGATATTTGTTGAGCAGCTGACATTTGATCATTGACCTGTCACTGTGGTTGAGACAAGTAAGCATGGGTGAGGAGAGGTCGTAGGCGTCGTGAGACACTCCAACCATGTCCAAGAGTCATTGCTCTTGGTAATCTGGTAATCTGGTGAATAGGTCAATCCATTTGCACGTGGTGGAGTTTCCATCCAACCATGTTAGGCTACCACAAATTGATCTCAGAAAATTGTTTTGCAGGTGCAAAAAATGCCAATCGAGTGGGCTAGATGCAATAGTTGTTGGTGAAATCCACATGATTGTGATATTCTCCCACTGTTGTTGTTCTTGAATGGTTTGTGTAGTCTATAATTCATATCTAATATATATATATATTTATACATACATATATACACATACATATAATATGCATAACCCCCCAAAAAAGGAAAAAAAATAAGCCCGCTCAAATAGTGATGAATTACTCTTCTATCTTTACATAGGTATAGGTATGACAACATGTGAGCACTCATGTGCACTTACATGTGACATTGTCAGCAGCCCATACTCTTCGTGCAGGAGAAGATTGGCTGCGGTTGGGACTTCATCTTGGTGCCATTCGGGGCCAGGGTTTTGGAGGAAGCATAAGCAATGCACAGTTCATCCTGTTGATCCTGAAACGAGGGCTTGGAGAATATCCTCTTCCAAAACAAATGGGAATCCCACCCTCAACCAAGCACTAGGAGGTTTTTTGGGCACTGCGGTTGGGAGTGTTTTTCTTACAATTTTTGGTGATTCTCTTCTACGAGACAAACAAAGGAGATGGGGGGATTCACAAGCAATAATCCTGGGGGTTCACCGAGATGTGACAGTCCATTGCCTAACAGAAACGTTCCCATCACCAGGGCCGATAGTCGTTGGGGAGGGAACATATCCCCGGGTCGCTGAAAGCCTCACGTTTGCTGGCATAGATATTTCGTTTCTGCTGAAAACACGTGTTCAACACTTCCCAGTTTTGCTGAAACAACCACATCCTTCATGTGCAACCACGTGAAGAAATTTACATTTACGGTGGAGTATTGTGGGATATCCAGTCATGGGGATCATCATGACAATATAGGTCAAGCTCCTCAGCCTAGTTGGCTCCATGGAGGATGACACCAGACTCCCGCCTTTGGCTGAATTTACCGCACAAATTCTTTAAGATAGAAGAGGCGTCACGGTCTGGGAGACAACAAAGAAAGCTTTAAGTTGCAATTCATTGGTCTGAAGTCGGAACATCAACAGAGACAGATTTGATGCCGACATTCACACCCTAATGACTTGATCTCCAAAAAAACACCTGTTGCCGTGGTTCGGACCCAACTCCAGCCATGACATTTGAGGAGTGACACTTGGGTGCAGCGGGCCTGGGTTTCAAATGTTCCAGCTCACCTTCTGGTCATGATCATTGTCATCCCACTATCATCATTATTGTCTTTCCATTGAATTGATATATTGATCATTTTAATGAATAGTTAGGGTTAATAATACCACCGCCTTTTGGTAAAGCCGATTTTTTCCCAGAATCTTGGGCAATACTAGAGCCAATTTTGGGTGTGTTGTCCCCTTCAATAACGGTGCGACCCCCTCATGAGTAAAGCCCCTCTCCAACCACGGACTTTTGGTAGTACGAGTACCCATCCCTTTCACTTTTACTGTATTTGACAGGGGAAATAGTTTTCTTGATCCCTAATGGTTGGTTCAACCCAAACAAGCAACGTACAATTAAAGGACCGGATAGCCCCACAAGTCAACTTCTTCCAATAGTCAGAAACAGTGGTTGAAGCGGCACGGAACGGAGAAAGCAGAAAGGAGAAAGGAGATGGTGGAGGATCGATCATTTTTGAAAGAATTGTGCGTGAAAGTGCGTGAAAGAGCTGTCTGTGAAAGAATTGTTTGTGAGAAGGTTGCCTGTGTGAGAAGGGTGTGTGTATGACAGAGTTGTGTATATGACAAGAAGCTTGCATCATCTCCATTTGACACTTCCGAATTTCTTCCACAAGGCGCCGAAGATCTTCACACGTTGTGTCAACCTTTGCCGGCGGAGACTTCACGTGGAAAACTGTCGAAGGCCTCCCAAGCGATGCGGTTAAAAGCAGGGCGGGACGTTCGGCAGTCACAACGATGCGAACTGACCGGCCAGTGCCTCTATGTGTGCCCAGCAAGGCGCATTAGCCCATCGCCCTTGCTGTCATACTTGGTTACGAACCAAGCGTTGGCCCCAAGCACACAACCCTGCGGCATCCCGCACCACCGGCCAACGAGGTGACAGGCGACAATATGCCGCTCTGCTTGGTACAGGAGCACGCAGCAAAACATGAAGTGCAACGCAAACGTGTTCGAAAACAAAGCGCAGCCAACACACGCACAGTGGCATGAACCACACGATGCAAGTGCTTCTTCCCACGTTGGGTCAAAGCTGGACCACCGGCGGCCAAACTCGCCACCAGAGCCAGCCCAGTGCCATAAGCGCCACGTCTGCCACGCAAAAGCAGCAGCGATGTCACCAAGTGCCACGCCTGCACGCAAACGACAGCTCTGAGCAGGTAGGTGTGACAGCGCGGAGGCGGAGGAGGCGGACGCAGACGGGACACAGAACCAGAAACAAGAACCCCACACAAAGATGTGGGGAAAAGCGGAGAACATCCATCATCATTCCCGAAATGATCTTTTCTTACTGCTTTATGCATAAACAATGATAGTCTTGGAAACTCACACACGGTACCCATAAGTGCTGGCCCCTCCCACTTGAAAAGCAGGAACCCTCCAAGCAAAAGAGGCCCAGCTCAGCCTCATCTGTATTTCTTTATTTTGCCATTGTCCTTTCTCTTCGTTTGTTTTTCATAAATGACGTGAAGTTTTTTGATTCGGGATAGTTCAGAAGATGCCTCCGAAAATCTTGTTGACCTTGTTGACCTACAGGAGGGGGGGGCGGGCTCGTTAATTATCATTATTTTTTGGATTTCCAGAGCCGCTCGTAGTTGGAGGTTGACCATTGCAGGACGGCGTGTCGCTGTGGCGGAGCCATATCTTTGCTGGTGCATTATAGTGGCGTGCAGTGCAACCCATGGGGAAAAGCAAGGCGAAGTGGGACATCTTCGGGGTTAGATGAAGCAGTCCTGAGCTGGTGGTGCAGTGGGCGCAGCTTGGAATCATGGAAAAACACAAATTTCTGGTAGTCACAAGTTCACCCATTTTTTTTCGTGTGTGATTGTCCCATGGGGGCCTCCCTCCAAAATAAAAACGTGTTTTGGGGACCACTGGTTTAACATCATTGCCACCAGTAAATTGGCATGAATGAAGGGCGGAACACCTCATCTTCAGACGCATCCAAATTGTTAGCCAACTGTTAAACCCTCTATTAAATCCCATTAAATGCCCGTAAAATAATTCAGTCAATTCCCCACCTGCCAGGTGAGGGTTGTTAGATTTTATGTCAGTTGCCTCCTCCTCCTCCTCCTGCCTCGTCCTCCTCTCCTCCTCCTCTCCTCCTCGTCCTCCTCGTCCTCCTTGTCATCCTTGTCGTCCTCTCGTTGTCCTCGTCGTCCTCGTCGTCCTCGTCGTCCTCCTGCTCAACTGCGACCCGCGATCCACAGTGTTCTCTGCCGGACCTCAACCACGACCATCCACGCCCAGTGTTCCCTGCCGGACCTCAACCACGACCATCCACGCTCAGTGTTCCCTGCCGGACCTCAACCACGACCATCCACGCCCAGTGTTCCCTGCCGGACCTCAACCGCGAGTATCCACGCCAAGTGTTCCCTGCCGGACCTCATGTAGGAAGTATGGGACAAAGAATGTGCAGAAGAAAGTTAGAAAGAATGTCAGAAAGAATGTCAGAAGATATGCCAGAAGATATGCCAAATAGAATGCCAAATAGAATGCCAGATAGAATGCCAGATAGAATGCCAGAAGATATGTCAGAATATATGCCAGAAGATATGCCAGATAGAATGCCAGATAATATGCCAGAAAATATGCCAGATAGAATGCCAGATAGAATGCCAGAAGATTTGCCAGATAGAATGCCAGAAAATATGCCAGAAGATATGCCAGAAAGATATGTCAGAAGATATGCCAGAAGATATGCCAGAAGATATGCCAGAAGATATGTCAGAATATATGCCAGAAGATATGTCAGATAGAATGCCAGAAGATATGTCAGAATATATGCCAGAAGATATGCCAGATAGAATGCCAGATAGAATGCCATAAGATATGTCAGATAGAATGCCAGAAGATATGCCAGATAGAATGCCAGAAGATTTGCCAGATAGAATGCCAGAAGATATGCCAGAAGATATGCCAGATCATATGCCAGAAGATATGCCAGATAGAATGGCAAATAGAATGTCAGAAGATATGTCAGATAGAATGCCAGAAGATTTGCCAGTAAGAAAATGTATAAATGTCATGGTGGGGATCACACGAAGTAAAGTAATTTTTTTGGTGACCCCAAACTTTTTAACTATTGATCAACTGGGTTAGTCGCCCAGTGAAAGAAATTATCAGGAACTGCGGTATTTCTGTCCCGAGGAATCCAAACACCAGAAAAAAGTACAGATATCACAGATGCTTTCTCTATGTTTGCCCAAAAGTCATGGAATTTCCGATGTTGGTTTATCCTTGTTTATCCCTAGGTTTACTTGTATATAATGTGTATGTATGTATGTATGTAATGTAATGTAATGTAATGTAATGCAATGCAATGTAATGCAATGTAATGTAATGTAATGTAATGTAATGTATGTATGTATGTATGTATATATATATATATCATAGTAAAGAACAGTGAAGGTACAAAACCCCAACTGGGGTCTATGAACTCGAGCATATCCCCAAAACCAAGATGATATAAACTAACCCCAAATGGTTTGGTGGCATGGTTTAAACGCATCCACATGGACAGTTATTAGGAATTCTTGGTCACTAGCAATCATTATTACCTAGTATCAGCCACCCTGAACCACTATCAACAAATTATTACCTACTATAAACCACGGTTATCAACAATTATTAGCCACTATCATCATTTTCCATTATCACCATTATGAACCAATTATTCGCAATTGCTAATTACCAACTATTGACAAAAAATGAGAAATTATACCCAATCAACAAAACAAATATCAACTATTATATATTACCCACTATAATCACCTATTAACAAAAATGATTCACGATTGACCACAAGTTACAACATGATAACCATTATTACCTACCGTTAACATACAGTGTATAGTGGCTATACCAACAAATTATCCACTAACACCAAATGGTTGGGCACAGGGATTAGCAATGATTATCAATTGTTATCAATCATTATTTTTTCTGAGTGCCAGCCACTCTTAACCACTATTAAGAATTATTACCAATTCTGAACCACTATCAACAGTTATTAGCCATTGTGCCAATTTTCCATTATCAACATTATTTACGACTTGTTTGCGAATGTTATCCACTATAAACCATACTAACAGTGATTACCTACTATCAAAAGAAAAATACAGTGGCTATATCAGCAAATTGTCTACTAACCCCACATGGTTGGGTACAGGGATTAGCAATTTTTTTTATTATTAATTATTATCATCAATTATTATCACTCATTTTTATTTCTTGGTGCCGGCCACTCTTAACCACTATCAAGAATTATCACCCGCGATTAACCACTACCAACAATTATTAGCCATTATGATCATTTTCCATAATCAACATTATTTACCAATTATTAGCAAACATTACCAACAATTAACCATATGAATACCAACAACTATTACCTACTATTAATTTTGATATATATATATATAGTGGCTATATCAACAAATTTTCATCTAACCCCACATGGTTGGGTACAGGGATTAGAAATTATTATCAATCATTATTGCCTAGTATCAGCCTCTCTTAACCACTATCAACAAATCACTACCCTCGCGAGGCCAAAGAGGTCGCCCCGGACGACGACGACGAGGCGTTGGAGGTGTAAACCTGAGGGCGTTGTCGACGTCCCCGTGCGAAGTCCACCGCAAAATGGGTCGCAATTTCCTGAGAAAATTGAAGATTTCACCTCTGGAAAAAGGGGCTGAACCTAGCTTTTTAAACATGAACTAAAGATTTAAAGCATAGAATTTGGACTTAACCCATCAATATACCTTGGGTTTGTCCCGGTATGGGGTACTCTATTTGTAAACGAGCCTAAACGGGTTTAAGCTTCGCTACGAACAATGAGTTTCCAGCGAAATAGAATTCCACCAAACGGGAGTCCGGAAAAGGAATTCAATTTTTGGCAGTGTTTGGAGATTACGAGTCCGTCGGCCCCAATTTTCACTTGGAGAAGTGGATAGGGATGGTGGGTTTGTCCAGGAATGGGGTAGACCTCAGAACGATAATTTTATTGGAGAAAATGAAGATAAACAACTGGATTTTAGGGTTTTCCAACATTTTGGGAACAAAAAGTAGTGATTGTGCTGGAATTGCGCGAACGGCTCACCTTCAGTCGCCTTTTCTGCAGGAGGACACCAGCATTGAAGGGAAGTGGTCATTGGAAGAGAGGCTTGGCAAGTTTGGGATCGGAGTGACTCGTGGCATAGGTTGATAGGGACTATGAAAATAAGCCCTATGAACCAACAATTACTAAAAATAATGATAATAATTGATACTGCTTACCCTAAATAGGGTCAGCATCTGCACATAAACAGTTTGCTTTCCACTAAAGCAAACATCGACATTTGGAGAAAATCTTCACATTCTCCACCCGACTTGATCACTTCTATACCTGAAGCCCAAGTGACATTTTTTCCAGGGGTTCAGGAAGCTGATCACACATGTTTTCAGGAGTCAAGTACATACGTATACATATTCGTAAATCAATGAGGAAATGCATGAACGAAGAAACATGTTATCAGACAAATATATACAGATATGATGAACGAACAACAAACGCACATTACATACGTACGTACATACGTACGTAGATAGATAGATAGATAGAAAGATAGGTACATAGATAGATAGATAGATAGATAGATACATGCATACATACATACATACATAGATAGATACAAAGATACAAAGATACATGTATACAAAGATACATGTATACATAGATTCATAAATACATAGATACATAGAGACATAGAGACATAGATAGATACATAGATGCATGCATGCATGCATGCATCCATCCATCCATCCATCCATCCTACATACATACCTACCTACCTACCTACCTACATACATACATACATACATACATACATACATACACATACATACATACAGACAGGCAGGCAGGCACGCATGCATGCATACATTTCTACATACATACACACATACATACATACATACATGCATGCATGCATGCATGCATGCATACATACATACAGACACACATACATACATACATACATACATAGATACAAAGATACATAGGTTGACATATCATCGGTGAGGTAGGTTTGGGATAGGTCGAGGTCTCTAGGCAGATGTTCATTCACACTCGTTTCTTTTTAACATGTTGTTCAACATGTCATTCCATTTGTGATCGCGGAGGAAAGCTCTTTGCCATTTTGGCCTCAAAGATCAAAGCAGTGATCACTTCCAGGTCGAAACAGTTCCCCCCGTTTGTAGAGTTTAGGGCCTGGGAAGTTGATCCTGCTCAGGACAAGGTAGGATGTCGAATTTTCCTCCTTGCACACCTTTTGCTTGCCAACAAGCCATGGCATCCAGGAGAGCTAGACCTGAGGATTCGGTCTCGGCTGTCTCTTGGAGTGTCGTTCATGAAGGGCAGCAGGGTGGTTCCACCAGTGGCCAACCTCAAGGGCCAGGCCAATCTCAAAGTTCAAGCCAAACTCAGGCTTCAGCACCAAAGGCTCCGCCACGGGTCAGACAGCTCAGGTGGACACAGATTCTGATGAAGCTCCTCCAGCTGATTTCACTGGTGGCTTTGCTCAGCCATCCACAAGTGGCCATGCGCAACAGTTTCCAGCTGCAGCTCCAGCAACCCAAGCCGCTCGTCAAGTCCTTGTGTCGGCACAGAAGCAAGCGGAGAAGCTGGCTGCTCAGAAAGCAAGAGCCAAGAAACGTGGCGGTCGCGGAGTGAAATGGGGTCAAATGTTCGGGGCCAACGCTCAGAACTGGCAATTGCCCCCATTCGTTCAACAGTTGTCCTCATCATTGACTCCGGGGACAAGAGGATCCAGTCACCATACCAAGGTTGGCTCTTGGACGAAATCTTCTTGAACGCTCAGAGTGGGGTGAGCATCCTGTCAGATCGACAGCTGATCAGATCCCCCAACTCTGGGTACCACATGAACCTGTTCTCCTGCCACTCCAGCAAAGAAGCGTTCGAGATCACGATCGCAATCAGCCGCGAAGGTGTCGCCCAAGGCAAAGAAGAACAAGCAGCGGCGTGATCGCCAGAAGCAAGTGCTCCAGAAAGCCAAAGCACTGGTTGCATCCCACGGGTCACCCGATCGTGGTGACGGCAAGAAATCTGCCGTTCGGGATGAGCGGGTGCCAGCCAAGGAATGGCAGAAGATCACATCCTTCAAGTATGGTGGGCCCAAACGCTGCCCGTTCTACAACTAACTGCTCCTTGGGCTGCCGCTTTGGTGATCAATGTCGCCAAAAGCACGCTTGTGTCGAGTGTGGTAAAGACCACCCTTGGCACGGCAACCACTGAGCTGATCACGCCGGCCAGGTGGACTTGGATCGACCACCTGGCTCATGGTCTGTAGATCCTCCAGGGCACCATGACGTGGACTGCCGCTCTGGCACTGCACTGAGAAAGGCGACCTCTACGCCTAGCGCTCTGAATAGCTGGTCGGATGATGTGGATCCTGCGGCTCTTCAACTGGAGGGCCCATTCTTCTTGGCGCTCTTTGCAGGCAAGGCAGGCAGTTCTTTTGCAAGGGGTGCCCATCCTTCCTCCGGTCGATATAGTGATCTCGCACATGGTCACGGCACCGGTGGACATCGTGGATTGGAATTTGTGGAACAAGATCCTGGCGGTGATCATGGCGGGGCTTGTTTTCTTTCTCCACTGTGGAACCCCGTGCAACACTTTTACCTCTGCTGGGAAGAATGATGGTGGGCCTCCTCCTTTGCGGTTTGCTCTGGAGCCTATGGGTCTGCAAGAGCTCTCTGAAGACAATCAGGCTCTTGTTTTGCTTGGTAATATTTTTCTTTTTCGTACTGTTGAAGCTTGCCGCCTCGTGTTCAATTTGGGGGGCAATTTTTCCATCGAGAACCCTTTATTAAGTTTGATGTGGCAAACTCAAGCCATGCAACAGCTGATCAGTGAGACGCGAGCCTTGGCGCTGGATTTTGATCAATGCGCCTTTGGAGCTCCGTCAGTAAAGCCGACTAGGCTCTTGTGCTCCACAGATCTGCTCGATGATGTTTGCGTTCGTTGCCCTGGCAACCACTTGCACGTGCAGCTCAAGGTGCGTGGTCCTCGCGCTGGCAAATTGATCTTTCGCACGAAGGCGGCTCAGATCTACCCTTGGGCTCTATGTGCATCTATTGCCATGAACGTCACCGTGATCTACGAGGACGCTTTGGCGCATCTCAGCACTACGTTCTGCCTGACCACCCCGGTGGCCGATCGTAAGCGTGAGCTTGGATCCAGCAAACCTTGGCCTGGCCATCGCCAAGCAGATACTGCACTGAAAGCTCAGTGGGCTGGTTATCAACTCAAGCGTGGGGCTCGATGTGGAGTTGGAGCCGGGCCAAGCCGTTCGCGCTGCCATGCTGGCCATCCACCCGTTTACAGTGGAGACTCCTTTGCCTGATCCGGCTCATCAAGCTCTGCAAAATCTAGCACGCCCTGCTTCTGTTATTGTGCAGGAGCGATATCAGCTGCTCACCTACTGGGAACATCGAGCGCGTGCCTTGCTTTTTTGGTCTGTGGCATTGATCCATCAACAGCCGGATCCGGCATTGCGCAGATTGCTCCTTGGTGTTGATGATGGTGTGGAACCTGTTCTAGGCCAAGTTTGCCATGTCGAGCTCTATGCTGAGATGCTCAGTGCGTGCAAGTCTGTGGATAAAGATCTTCCCGTTTTTCTGCACGGCTTCCCGATTGTCGGGCCGATTGCTCCGACTGGTCGTTGGCCTCCCTACACGAAGCCTCAGAAAGCTCTCCCTGTACAAGATGCTTTGAAGCGGGCCTGGGCTCTGCGGAGGAAAATCATATCTCGTGCTCACGGAGTACCAGTGTCTGACAATCTGCGAAAAAATTGGGAAGCTTCGATCGAAGATGTGACTGAGGGTTCATGTTTAGGTCCTTTTTCTGAAGAAGCTCAAGTCTCGAAGATCTTGGACTGCGAGGACTGGATCCCAACACAGCGTTTCGAAGTAGTGCAGAAGAACAAAGTTCGGGGGTGCGACAGCGCTACGACGAACATGATCAACCAAATCACAGTGATCACGGAGAAGCCACAGCTGCCCTCGACAGACTCGAATGTTGCTGCGCTCAGACGGTTGCGCTCGCTGAAGCCTGACGATGAGCTGGTAGGTTGGGTGCTTGATGAGCACAAAGCCTACAGACAAGTAGCAGTTCGTCCTGATCAGAGGAAGTTTTCGGTGATCTACTTGAAGAACCCTGAATCGGGTGCCCCAAACTTTTTCGTCATGGTGGGTCATTCGTGTGGCTTGGTTTCGGCAGTGTACAATTACAACCGCCGATCGGCAGCCATCAACGAATTTTTGGTTTCAATCTTTGGGCTAGTAGCTTTCAGCTTCTATGATGACAAGTATGGCTTTGAGCCAGCTGGAACTGCGCCCTCCGCTCGTGAAGTGGCAGAACGCGTTCATTTTTGGCTAGGCGCAAAGTTTGATCAGAAGAAGCTCCAGCTTTCGTCTACCCCCACTATCCTGGGTGTGACCTACAACCTGGAGAAGCTCCAGCTCGAGATCAAGCCCGAGCGCAAAGACGAAATTGCTAGCTGCTAGCGAGATTGACTCCATTTTGCAATCAGGTCTGCTCGACCCAGGGTCAGCGGGCAAGCTCAAAGGAAAACTTATGTTTGGGGCATCTCAGCTCTGGAAGGGCCTTTCTGCGCGTGATCTCTGAAAGGCAGTACCTCAGGTTCCCCATTAAGAACGAGTTTGCTCTGGATGCCCCGCTGCAGGCAGTGCTCGATCAGTGGAAGAAGTTGGTCACTTCAGGTCCCCCTCGTCCGATCGATTTAATTTGTTCGAAGCCTGCGGATTCAGTCATTTTCACCGATGGGTTCACTCCTGACCCTAGATCTAGTGAGAAGTTGCCTGATCGCGTAGGTGCTGTCATCTTTGATCGTAGACGTAGGACCCCTGTTCAGTTCACTGCTGTCATCCCAGAGTCCGTGAAGAGACGCTGGCTCCAGCGGACAACCCAAATTGTTCCTGTCGAAATGATGGCAGCAGTTCTCGCGTTTGAAACTTTTGCTGATCAAATCAGAGGTGCAGATGTGATTTTGTTGATCGACTCGGAAGCCGTTGAAGGCGCCTTGGTCAAAGGCTGCTCCAGTCGCGAGGATCTCTGCCAAGTGATTTCTATCTTGTGGGATCTAGCTTGAGGGTTCGCGTTTTTATTGACAGGGTATCTACGGATGCCAATCCAGCGGACATGCCTTCAAGAAACAGGCTCCATGTAGGGGAGGCAGTAGGATGGCGTACTGTTCAGGCATCTTGGCCGCCTTGTTTTTCAACTAATGGCTGAGAGGGCCTGGGTCTGTGATTGTGCCAGCTTTGATCTCTTACCCTTGCTGAGACATAGTCTGCGAAAGACTAGTGTTTGAGCTTTTTGGTTCGATGATCTTTTTCATTTGCAGATCACTTATTTGATCTGGGTTGCGTGGCACAGTTACTTCGCCTGAGTCTGAATTTTGCTCAGAGATTGCATTTCTCGTCCATTCAGATCCACTGCTCACCCCATGCCACGAGCAGTCTGCTCTAAAAAGGTGTGCGTTGCCTGCTTTGGCATGTTTATCTTGATCTATCATTCAGTTGTTTGTTCATTCAAGTTTTAATTTGATCAATCGACGTGTGAGAGTGAAAGTGCTTGATCAAGCATGCTCAGCTGCAGTGAGACGTTGACATATCATCGGTGAGGTAGGTTTGGGATAGGTCGAGGTCTCTAGGCAGATGTTCAGTCACATTCGTTTCTTTTTAACGTGTTGTTCAACATGTCATTCCATTTGTGATCACTGAGGAATGCTCTTTGCCATTTTGGCCTCAAAGATCAAAGCAGTGATCACTTCCAGGTCGAAACACCCTGCCCGCCCACCCTGTTTCGACAGGGTGGGTGGATCCTTGGCTCCACCCACTTGTGTGTGTATGACTGGACGCTCTTGGAAGGGGCCTGTGATTGTGCCAGCTTTGATCTCTTACCCTTGCTGAGACATAGTCTGCGAAAGACTAGTGTTTGAGCTTTTTGGTTTGATGATCTTTTTCATTTGCAGATCACTTATTTGATCTGGGTTGCGTGGCACAGTTACTTCGCCTGAGTCTGAATTTTGCTCAGAGATTTCATTTCTCGTCCATTCAGATCCACTGCTCACCCCATGCCACGAGCAGTCTGCTCTAAAAAGGTGTGCTTTGCACCAGAGAGCTGCTTTGGCATGTTTATCTTGATCTATCATGTTTAATTTGATCAATCGACGTGTGAGAATGAAAGTGCTTGATCAAGCACGCTCAGCTGCAGTGAGACTTACATAGACTCAAAAATACATAGATACATAGAGACATAGAAGCATAGATACATAGACACATAGAAACATAGATACGAAGAGACATAGATACAAAGAGACATAGAGACTGAGATACACAGACGCAAAGAGACATAGAGACATAGATACATAGAGACATCGAGACACACATACAAAGAGACATAAAGACATAGAGACATAAAGACATAGATACATAGAGACATAAAGCCATAGAGACAGAGACATAGAGACATAGATAGATACATAGATGCATGCCATGCATGCATGCATCCATCCAAAACAAAGACTTGGCAACTAGTCCAGAGGTCAAGGTAGTTGTGGAAACATTTGTTTTGGGGTTTGGATTAGTCATTGCTAATCAGGATGATTAATCTTGGTGGAAGTGTGACAGACCAGAGCGTTGATGTGCCAGACACATGCTTTTGTGAAGAGACGTGCTATAGGATAGGCTACATTGAGAACGAACTGTTGTGAGTGTGAGTTTCTTCATTGAATGTCTACCCCAAAAGCTTGAAACTCACCGCTCACAACAGTCCTTTCCAATAGAACATATACATATATCATACACATACACATATACATATACATATAGATATACATATACATATACACATACATATACATATACGTATACAGATACATATACATGTACATATACATATGATATCATATACATATACCTTACATATACATAATACATGTTTGCGTCTATTGTAAAGATACTTCAAACAGAGCAAGTCAATCCGCCAGGCAGCGCGTGGCCGAGCGCATCGAGGCTTCCGGTACGCCCCTGGGTTTACCCGACGCGGCCTTTGATGCGCCCTCCATGGTGCAGGCAACGCTCCGGCGCCGGGCACGGGACGGGATAGGGATCTGGGGGATTTCTACGGAGATCTAGGGAATCCACACACACAGACACACACACACACATATATATATACATACATATATATATATATGTATATATATATATATTATACAATATTATATTGAAAAAAATCGAGGCCATGGGGAAAATCATGCAGATTTTTGTAGGGTTTAATCTCGTTTAACCGTCTGGGGTAAAAACCATGGCTCGTAGATTTTCCTCCATCCTGACAGGTTTGTCTGAAAACGGGGATGTTTCCACAATTGATGGCGATTAATGGGGAAGATGACCATTGACCCGTAGATTTGGGTGACGGCCCCCTATTATGCAGTTCCGCTTCACTGGTTGTTTCAAATCAGGTAAACCAAACCTTTGGTTTCACCGTGTCCCCCGTGTGAGACATCATGACGATCATCATTTTATCATCAGCATGATCATCTCCATTGTCTTCATTCATATGGGCTTTTCTCTTGTCAGGGATCCTCAGTCGTCACCATGGTGGTCACGACTGGATGATGGTACCCGGGGTACCCCCAGTCGTCACGGGGCGGAAAACTCCAGCCCTAGGACGCCTATGATGCCATGATCCAGAAGAGTCCTGGGGTGGAAGTGATGATGGAAGCCATTCTTCAAGCTGCCAGGCCGGGGATTCCTAGAGGATGAGTAAAAAAAACATGTTTTTCAGTGATTCAAACAACAAAAAAGGGGCATTTAAGTATTGAACTGTTCTTTATTACTTTTGGAAGTGCAAACTGGTTGGACAATTGGACAGTTGTGAATTTTGTTCAATCAACTGCCACTAGGGTACTAGTACGTAGCTGCTATATAACTGTGGATGTCACATGATATTACTGGGTGAAACTAATGTGAGATGACAGGTAATCATTGGTTAGTGACGGTTCGTGAGTGTCAGCCCACCATCACTGTAAACCCCAGTCTCTCATGGGGTGTAGTGTTGATAGTGTGAATTATAAGTATTTTTGGGACCATCACCAATGAACTGGGTTGACACCTAGTTTGAACAATGAAGATGGCGTGCCCCTCCGCAACATGCTGACTATCAATGAACAAGGTCAGCAAGTCGCTTCCACCTCGATGGTGAACACAGAGCAATCAGGGACTTGTTCACCAGACTGATATACAAGTTATCCACTTAATATCCACTTACATGCTAAGTATGAGTGTTAGCGTCAGCACTTTTGTTGGGGTTGAGAGTCTGAGTTTTTCTGGTTCTGAACTTGGGGTCAATGGACCATTCGTTGGTGGACCATTTTGGGCTGAACCCATCAAAGCCTCTTGAAACTTGGCCCTTTCTTTTGACCTTCCAGTCCAAATCCTTGTTTAGCATTCTTTAGCTATAGATCAATCATTCAATTTTTGGGAATCGACAAAAAAGATGAACCAATTCTGGTGTTTGTTTAACCATCAGCCATCAAACTTTCAAGGCGTATGGACGCGGAGAACTGGCAGCGCTTTCAGCAGATTCCTTTGCTCCACGTCCACCAGGACGATTCCGTGACTCGTCGCTGGATCTCTGGGGGTTCTCCAAAGGGGTGATCACCTGAAGAAATGGACCTGAAATCAAGAAGGGCTCGTTGATCGCTGCGGGGTTGAGATGGCCTTTCTTCTCCCTATGTTTTTTGATCCAACTAACATCTCCATGGTTTGGGCGATTCTTGGTGGAAAATCTAAGAAATCCTTACATTTTCACCCCGGCACCTCCCATCTAAGACGGTGCACAGCAACCTCTTCGCCCAAAACGAACCCAGCTGGCGACCGCTGCTGCAGCGTCCCAAGAAGCGGAAGCAAAGCTGTGTCTCTTGGCCTTGTCAAATGGGGTTGATCCAAAAACGGGGTCGATCCCAAGTTATGACCATTTCAAACGATGATAAACCATGGGACCCATGGGATGCCATGGGGTTTGCAGCCAGTTTTGCAGACCCCAATTGTCAAACTGCACTCCGTGGCAGGGCCTCCGATCTCCCAGGCCTTTCTCCACATGGGCACTGCGCCAATGACGCCTGTGCTGGCGGACTTCCTCACTAAGCTGGGATGGTCCGGCATCTGCGTGGGGCCGATGAAGCCACCTCCAGGGAACGAGGCTGGGAATGGGGGAACTGGCATGGCCAGAGCCAGCCCAAAAGTTGGATATATATATATATATATTTGCTTTATGAATCAATTCTTTTCAAAAGGAAACGAGTTCATTCTCAGTGAGAACATTGAATTCCTGGCATGGCATTTTCGACTTCCAAACAGTTGTTTCAAGGAGTGTAAGGTCTCAAAACAGTGAGCCACGTTTTTTTTTAAAGATTTTTTTGGGAGAATGAATCACCATAATGACTTGCCACAAATCGCGAGTGGTGGATGTATTTTTGGTTGCGGCCCCCACAAACTTGCAGTTTGATTCTCTTGAACCCGAGAATCTGATGTACCAAAGCCTGTTTAAGAGGAGATGGTTGGAAGGACAACTTGCAAACGCAGTCGACTTCTGCGCGATGTCAAGAAGTCTCAGTCTATGAGTGTTACTGAGTTTGACCATGATGACGATGACGATGATGATGACGACGACAACGACGACGACGACGACGATGATGATGATGATGAGGATGATGATGATGACGATGACGATGACGAGGACGAGGACGAGGACGACGACGACGAGGATGATGATGATGATGATGATGATGATGATGATGATGAGGATGAGCACGAGGACGAGGACGACGACGACGAGGATGATGATGATGATGATGATGAGGATGAGGATGAGGATGAGGATGATGAGGATGAGGATGAGGATGATGATGATGATGATGAGGATGAGGATGATGAGGATGAGGATGAGTATGAGGATGATGATGATGATGATGATGATGATGATGAGGATGAGGATGAGGATGATGAGGATGAGGATGATGATGATGGTGATGATGATGATGAGGATGAGGACGAGGACGAGGACGACGACGACGAGGATGATGATGATGATGATGATGATGATGATGATGAGGATGAGGACGACGACGAGGATGATGATGATGATGATGATGATGAGGATGAGGATGAGGATGATGAGGATGAGGATGATGATGATGATGATGATGAGGATGAGGATGATGATGATGATGAGGATGAGGATGATGAGGATGAGGATGAGGATGAGGATGATGATGATGATGATGATGATGAGGAGGACAAGGACGATGATGACGACGATGATGACGATGATGACGGCCACGACGACGACGATGATGAGAACCAGAAGGAGGCACCCTTCTTTTCCTCACAGCTTCGCTAAGACTCGTGCCAAGACCTCACCCAGCTTCACCTTTCCACAGGACCTGCTTCAGTTTGTTCAGCTGGATCCTGCAGAAGCAAAGGACCAGCAAGCCGACAATTGTTGGTATTTGGTCGGGGCGCTTCGATGTGGGGACCCTCAATGGGTACAAGGTACCGGAATTCAGGACTCAAGCGACTCAAGCGCCAATGACCGGAAGTGAGGTTGAGGGAGTTGAGGGGCCAGCTCCAAAACAACTCCCTATACTCAACGTGTCCTAACATTGCCATTGTGCCAGGATCAGTTCCAGATTGACGAACTGCTCGGGGAGACGGGGGGGTTGGTGCCCAGTCCACCCACCTTCCCCTTGGCCTTCGCCCCTTGGTGGCAACGGAAAGCTGTATGTACTCAGAAAAGGCAATTATCTGACGGTTCTATACATAATTATATATATATACAGAATATGCATATATACATAATTATATATATATATAGTTGATCATATTTCATCCATTTTTATCCTAATATCCCAAGTCCAAGTCATGCCTCTCTGCAAACAAACCTCGCATTGTACAGCGATTGGGAAGTTGAGTCTTGTATCCCGCTACTGAAGTGGGGTCTGCAAGGATTATTTTCATGGGGTGATATTGCATGATCCCCACTACACTAATCGATCAGGTCAATGTTCTCTTCAACGTCAACGAGGCTGGAGAAATTGCAGGATTTTTCTAGCTGGGCTTGGCTCTGCAAAAAATCTCAGCTTCCCACAACCTTTGAGGAAAAAACTTGGGTACAATGCAAGTGGGTGAGAAAAATTGAATCCCACTTTTTTAAAGCCCAGACATCCGATCTAAGCCACTTCTGAATGGGTTGTTTTGAGCCATTGTGAGGATTCCAGCCTGTTGGACCCTTACGATGATGACTACGAAGAAAAGCTGAAAGAAAGGTGCAGGGTGCAGACGGGGGCGGGACGCTGAAAGCATTGAGACCAAGGACCTGAATCCCCCGAGTGCCCACCTTTCCTCAACAGATCTGGAAAGCACTGGAAAGTGTGGTGACACCGGTGACACCTGAGGGATGTGAAGATCCTTTTCTGGATCAAATCATGTTTCCCGCGCCAATCAGAAAGTTGACAAATCATGACAAACCCACATGACAAATGGTTAACTGTCAGTTGAGGTCCCGCTTGGTCATCCTTTGGCCACTGGAGGGGAGTCACCCATACTCGCAAGAAGAAGGGACGCCTTACCATTCGCCGGGATTGCATTCTGCATGGAAGCCTCCGAAGACTACGCCCCATTTGATAAAGACTTGGATAACGATAACAAAGAACCAGTGCGCATAGGCGCATAGGTCCACACTGGCACAGGCAGGAACAGGAGGCAGCCGAGGCCGAGGCCAAGAAGGCTGCAGGGAAGAAGAAAAAGAAGGACAGTATACCTCCAATTGCCATTTTTCATAGGGATAATGATGATTAACCATTGGGTTTAGGGTACACTATTTTCAGACAAGCCCATCTGGGTTTGGTACTAGGAATTCTGAGGGTATTTTTCAATTTTCGCAGCCATGGTGACCTCAATATGACTCGAGGCAGTTTAGAAGGTCCCACGTGCAGATGTGGGCCTGGGTCCAAATTCAACATCTCAAACTTGGTGAATTCCAGATTAGTCTCTTCATTTTTTTGGATTGTCATGGGGGCCTCGGTCTCTTGACCCATACCATAGTTACCTGCATTTAGAAGAAATCCTGAACATGGCGACTTTTAGCGACACCAATACTGGCAAGAAATTTTCCAGATTAACGAGCACATTGGTTGCTTTGAATGTTTTTCAAACGCTCAGAGTCTCAGAGCCGATGCCCCCTTTTGCATCGCATTGCAATGAATCCTTCTTACACTGATTGGCCCTGCGATATTTTGGTGATTTCACTCCATTCAAATGGTAGACAAAGCCAGATGTGAGGTATTTTTAAGAAGGAGTTTATTCATGTGTATGTGTAAACACATTAATATAATATAATATAATATAATGTAGTGTAGTATAATATAATACAAAATAATATAATATAATACAATATAATATAATATAATATAATATAATATAATATAGAGTAAAATTAAATGAAATATAATACAATATAATATAATATAATATAGTATAATGTGATACAATATAATATGATATGATACAATATGATATGATATGATATGATATGATATATTATGATATAATATGATACGATATGAGATAATATGATATAATATGATATAATATGATATAATATGATATAATATAATATACAATTAAAATTAAAATTAATATGATATGATATAATATAATATTAATATTAATAGTGATATTGATATGACATTATATTATATTAATATTAATATTAATATTAACATCAATATTAATATTAAATTAGTATTAATATTCATATAATATAATATAATATAACATAATATAACATGACATAATATGATACAATATGATATAATATAATTATATATAGTATAATATAATATAATATAATACAATACTTATTGTATCTATACATACATATGGGCTGCGTGGCACATCACTACAGCAGTACATCCTTAAATGTGGAGTGGCCTTACCTTACCTATCCTATCCTATCCATCTGGCTATCTGCCTGCAGGACACCGTTGTACAAGAGAATGCCGAGCTGCCGCCAGTGCCTCCCTCCACTGTGGCAGGCTTGGGGTGTACTGGGGTGCTTGAAGAATCACGATGAGTTTGAATGCTTGAAAGCATTCAACCAGCAAGAATATGGTTTAACCAGCATGTTGATTCTTCCAACAAAAATGGTGTGGGCCCAAACACGGAGTCTTTGTATCTGAAACCTTCCAAATTTGGAGATATTTTTCAGCCATACGCAGTGCCAGAAGGGTCCCATGGCCTAGTAATGCCGCTTTCCAGCTTCTTCTATTGTTTGAGATCCCACTTTTCCGTTGCCAACCCTTTTTTGAATACAGAATACATACTCCCCAGCATTTTGGTGAAAAAAAACAGTCGTTGCTAAGACCAACATTTCTGAATCCACACAGCTTGATTCGTTGAACCATCTTAAACGATCGTTTCTGGTTAAAAGCCACCAATTTCGAGGAAACTCTGCGGATTTTCGGTGAAGCCTCTGGGGTCAGGCTACGGTGTGGTGGGCCTCACCCGGGGGCATCGGGTGAGACGTCGCCTGCGGGCCATCAAGAACTGCCTGGCGATCACGCTGGGACGGCTGGCCAAGGTGCGCTGGACCGCTGGACCGGGATGGGTCATGTGTTTTTTCGGTTTTTTTGGAGAGATTTCTTTTTGGATCTTGATGGATGCCATCATTTCCATCATTTTTATTGGGTTTTCCATGGTTTTCCACTCTATGATTTTGTGTCGCATTGATTCATGGATGTTCATGGGATGAGTCAATGGATATGGTAGGTATATACTGTGGCAGGGATGAAAAAAAAGGAAATACAAACAAGTTGACTGGGATAATTGGATAATATTGGATATATATATAATATATATATATATACTGTAGAGATATCTATAAGTGGGATATGACTGGATATGACTGGATATAGAAATATAGTGGGCGATAATGGGATTATGCATAATGATATATATATATATATGTATATATACATAATGGGATATATCAATCATGGGATACAGTATGATGGGATTTAATTTAGCTAACATTTGATAAATGGGTCTGAAACTAAACCCACAATGGGGGATACAATCGAGATGGTGTATGATGGCACTGAGAACACTGCAGGGATTTACCATAACTTGGATGATAATAGGATGTATTTTGCGCGATATCATTCGGGATTTAAGTTTTTTTTTAGATGGGGGGGACTGTAACATTTGAGTTTGTTGCGGTTTGTGTGTGACCCACAATGGGATTTGGGGGTTCCCAATTTGAGGTAATTGCGTATGGCTCTCAATGGCCTGCCTCAACGATCTCAGGTTTTGTCATCATTTTCCCCAATTTTGCAGCGGCCACTTACTGGGGCATCCCCCAATTTAGAATAGTGGAGGATTCTCCAAGGAGCCATGTCAAAGTACCAGAGGGTAAGGTTCACCACATGGTAATATTGGGGAAGGTTTCTCTTGAGTTATGTCAAGCTTAGTTGGGATCAAACCGGCGGTCATTTGTGTAAAAATGGGGGATAGAGCACGCACGCCAGGGTATAGAACCAAGAACACGAACCATGGAAGACATCACGAACACTGTGGCCATCATATCCCAAGAAATGTCCTCGGTTAAGGCTTTGGGTACCCCGAGACCAAATGGTCACGGCCACCAAAGATAAAACCTTGTGATTACTCCTTGGGTTTTGACTACCTAAAGGATCCTCTTGAGGGCTAGAACTTGAGCCGGAATCCCAGTTACAACACTCCTAGTTCTCAAGGGGGGTTGTGACCCAGATCCTGCGCGGGATCCACGGAACCAGTGGAACCAGGATGGAAGTCTGGTGATGGTGTGGCCTGGGCTCCCTTTGCACCCAGTGCTCTTCTTCATTGCAGGCCATGCAGCCATGCATTCCCAGGAGTTGACCAACAAATGATGTTTGCTATGAACCATCCAGGGTGAAATGGATGTCCTGAAATCGGAATGGTTGAAAAAAAAAGGTCGGGTGGCCCTCCATTCTTCAAAACGACTTAAGGTATATACTGTAAATGATGGCATTTGGTGGGCCAACCCAGCCCTTCTAGCTGCCTTGTGAACTACTAATCCCAGACTTAGTTTGAGGGAAGACAATCGGGGTTTAACCCTTTTGCCTTCTGGGTAAACCCAGTGGTTTCGGGTCCAAGATTCAACCATTGACCTGTGGGCACTGAAAAAATTCACCTGTCAACGCCAGCCCTGGAGGTTCGCTGCGAAAGCTCTTTCAGCGTGTTCATGTCTTCAGCCCCGAAGGCTGTGGGTCACCATGGGTCACCATGGGTCATCTCCTCCAAGCCCTGATTCTGTGAGCTGGCGCAGCTGCAAAAACTTGGCGCAGATCACCCCCAAACAATGCTCAACATGGTAAGATTTACGCACCGAAATAAGGGGTGGCATGAACTTCAAATTACAGGTTTTTCATGAATAAAGGATCCCGGATCATCCGGCTCCCCAAATTTCATCTCAGATTTCTACCAAAATGTCCCAAACTGCGCAGGTTCTAAGACCTTTGAGGTGTACATCTTAGCAGCAGGCTACAAACGGGACAAGGCTGACAGCAAAGTGCCCGGCATGGGAGGCGGGTCGTGGAGCGCGTTTGGGGAGCGCTGTCCGGTTGTCGGTGGCCATCGGTGGCCAGGCCTTGAGATCCGAAGCTTCTTTGAAGATACTTGGAGGTTGGGGCCATGGCGAAATGGGCGGCCCAAGCTTCCGGCATCTTCCGGCACTTCAAGGTTTTTGGGGAGGAAAAAGCCAGTCTTCATAGAAAATGATCTCGTGGATGATGGCATTTCCACGATTTTCTTTGCACTCTTCAGTGTCTGGAACCAGAAAAAAGGGTATAAGATCTCTGTTTAGCATTTTATACAGATGCCACGGCTGCATGGGTGCTCCATTTTCACTACCCGGTAATCAGCTCCATGGCTTGAAAATCCACCAATAGTTCGATGATGTTCCCGCAATGGAAAATCCCCTAAGAAGCTTTCGTGGCACTTTTAGCCTCTATTATCTCTATCTTTAGGGGATTTTTTATTGCGACGTTTGATTAGAAAAGAGGGTAGGTCCGGTAGGTATTACCATGAGATCCCCATTCTGAGGTGCGATGGTTTGGACGATGTGCTGTTGTGGACCTTGGCGCCTTTGGAGGATGTCAACCGTGTCAAGCGCACGGCACGGGGGAAGGCACAGGGGGATAGCCCCTCACCAAGTGATGTTTGTTTGGTGATAACCCCATCATAAATCATAGGTAGGCATATATATATAGTTATTTAAGTACACATTTATCCCATCATAAATAGAGATTGATGGGATATAAGTTTGTGTATACCCCCATCGGACTATAGATAGATCCCATCCTAAATCCTACTTATCCTACTGGCCCAAGAAGTGGAGTAGCAGAAATAGTTGGTGGTGTTCCTGATCTGAGACATTTCCAGGTTTTTCGGTCAAGCTGGTCGAGTCACTATGTACATAGATGAATCTGGGGCAATTCTTTAGGGCACTCCATACGGACTCCATTTTGCATAGACCAAGAATTGGATCCTCCAATTTTGACAGCACAGAAATACACTACCAATTACAATCGAATCACTTTTCTCTTTTCCTTTTTTCCGGGGTCCCAGGTTTGATCCTCTACCTGCATGGTGATAACTGCAACTTTTGTGACGCATTCGCCAGCCCAAAGTCCCAACGAATCTGGATTGTTTGATGAACCATTTTCAGTATAAGAGGATGGCAAGATGGAGTCCGTTGATGGATGTCAATGTCTGCAACCAAGTTTCCAGGGCTGCCCAAAGAAGTCATGAAATTTGTAAAGTGGGTAACCATTGGTAATCCCGGTAATCTAACCTGGCAATGGACATATTTGCACATCCCAGGAGGACGAGGAGACCAACATCGGCTTGACAGGTGAGATCGGCGGCTGGAAATTCATCTGGTTCTGGATCAAAACCCATGGTTCTTCTAGGTGAACAGCAAGATTGCTGGTGTTTATGGATGTTCATGCTCCCCAAATATGGTATTTCGTAGATAGTTTGATTCATCCGCATATTTTGGAGGAGATTTGGGTCCTTGTGTTTTTTTGGACCCACTTTAGGTATGGGTCAAGATCAAGGTTAAGTACCTCCAAGCTGGAGACTGCAGGACCTCAAAATGACGAGACAAGTGGGTAGAATGGTAGCAATGAGAAGGGGGGGCCATGTGCGCATAGATATCATGTATGCACTGTTTATATGTCTCTCTCTCTCTCTATATATATATACATATATATATATACATATATATATATATATGTACACAGTGTATATGTGTGTATATATATACAGTATGTATATATATATGTGTGTTTGGAGAAATTTTAACGACCTCTCTGTGACGTCATTGGAATGCTGGTTAGTAAGGGTAACTATCCCAAAATAGCCGTCTTTTGCGTTAGTGAGTTGTTGTAATTTATCCATACATATATATATATATATCTTTGGGCCCCAGGAGCTTCAATTTGATATCAAAATGTGAACCCTCACTTGCTCTTGATGGCAGGCAAGAGCTCAGTCATGAGCTACACGCGGCCTAGCTGGATAGATATGTTGAACGCAGGGGAATTGAACCAGCACAGGAAGGGGAATACCTTTTGTACCTTTTGGTATGCAGCATTAATTCCACTTTTTTTATTTGTGACATCTCCATGTCATTCAACTTTTTCCATTTTTTCCTTGATTCCTTAAGGTTATATCTTCTTCCCCTTGTCATCTGGGTTTGTCTGAAAAGAGGGTATCTTCAAATTGATGATGATCACATCTCCCACCAAACTGGCAATGTTTGCGGCCCATCCTGAAAGTATGGACAAAGGCCAGATATATTGATGGACAATTAATGGGTGAAATAGTTAAATCCCTATCTTTATGAGTTACGTATATGGGTTACATCACAACGCTATTGTGGGTTCCATCCCCAATTTCCATCATGAAATCCCCGTCTACAGGACACCCCTATATTCAAACTTCCACAACATTTTTTGTTCCCTAGAATTGATCATTGTTGCCTTGCATCATTTTGTTGATTGTATACATATGTATATGTGTATGCAAATGTAAATGTACACGTACATGTACATGTATATGTATATGTCTATAACTATGTAATATATATATATACATGTATATGTATGTATATATATATATATGTAATGTAATGTTATGTTATGCTATGCTATGCTATGTTATGTTATGTTATGTTATGTTATGTAATGTAATGTATGTATGTACGTATGTATGTATGTATGTGTAGATGTAGATGTAGATGTAGATGTAGATGTAGATGTAGATGTAGATGTAGATGTAGATGTATATGTATATGTATATGTAATAATAATAAGAAATGTATATGTGTATATGTGTATATGTGTATATGTGTATATGTGTATATGTGTATATAATAATACTGATAATAATGATAATAATAATAATGATAATAATGATCATAATGATAATAATAATACTGATAATAATGATAATAATAATAATGATAATAATGATCATAATGATAATAATAATAATGATCATAATGATAATAATAATAATGATAATAATGATAATAATGATAATAATAATAATGAAAATAATAATAATGATAATAATGATAATAATGATAATAATGATAATAATGATCATAATGATAATAATGATAATAATGATAATAATGATAATAATAATAATGATAATAATGATCATAATGATAATAATAATAATGATAATAATGATAATAATGATAATAATAATAATGATAATACTGATAATAATGATAATAATAATAATGATAATAATGATCATAATGATAATAATAATAATGATCATAATGATAATGATAATAATGATAATAATGATAATAATGATAATAATGATCATAATGATAATAATAATAATGATAATAATGATAATAATGATAATAATGATAATAATGATAATAATGATAATAATGATCATAATGATAATAATAATAATGATAATAATGATAATAATGATAATAATGATAATAATAATAATAAATGTATATGTGTATATGTGTATATGTGTATATGTGTATATGTGTATATGTGTATATGTGTATATAATAATAATGATAATAATAATAATAATAATGATAATAATGATCATAATGATAATAATAATAATGATAATAATGATAATAATGATAATAATGATAATAATAATAATGATAATAATAATAATGATAATAATGATAATAATGATAATAATGACAATAATGATCATAATGATAATAATAATAATGATAATAATGATAATAATGATAATAATGATAATAATGATAATAATGATAATAATGATAATGATAATAATGATAATAATGATAATGATAATAATGATAATAATGATAATAATGATAATAATGATAATAATGATAATAATAATAATGAAAATAATAATAATGATAATAATGATAATAATGATAATAATGATAATAATGATCATAATGATAATAATGATAATAATGATAATAATGATAATAATAATAATGATAATAATGATCATAATGATAATAATAATAATGATAATAATGATAATAATGATAATAATAATAATGATAATACTGATAATAATGATAATAATAATAATGATAATAATGATCATAATGATAATAATAATAATGATCATAATGATAATAATAATAATGATAATAATGATCATAATGATAATAATGATCATAATGATAATAATAATAATGATAATAATGATAATAATGATAATAATAATAATGATAATAATGATCATAATGATAATAATAATGATAATAATGATCATAATGATAATAATAATAATGATAATAATGATAATAATGATAATAATGATAATAATGATAATGATAATAATAATAATGATAATAATGATAATAATGATAATAATGATAATAATGATCATAATGATAATAATAATAATGATAATAATGATAATAATGATAATAATAATAATGATAATAATGATCATAATGATCATAATGATAATAATAATAATGATAATAATAATAATGATAATAATGATAATAATGATAATGATAATGAATATATTTAATTATATATATATGTATACGCTATGCTATGCTATGCTATGCTATGCTATGTATGTATGTATGTAGGTATGTAGGTATGCATATGTATATGTATATGTATATGTATATGGATATGTATATGATTCGGGACACGTACCCTCATAAACCATGAGGTGTATGTACCTTGTTTTGGCTCAAGTAAAATAGGAGTGTTGCAATTTTCTGATCATGGTAGCGGAGCGCTCGGTTAAGCTCCAGTAGATGCAAAACCTTTGGATCCCCATCGAAACCCTTGGTGACAGAGTGGTAAGGTTGTGGTACCGGTTGGTTAACAGGTTGTTCAGGATCCGCAGGTTGCAGAGGATCTTCGGCCACTTAGGGCAGCACCTACAGGACTTGGTGCAGACTTCGGAGTTCAGGCGACGGCTGCTGAACTCTCGGTTGTCTCCACCGGGAGTTGCATACGCTGAGCCGGAATTGCCTGAGGAGCCGTGATGGCGACCATGGAGGAGATCGTGGCGCAGATCCAGACGTTGCGGCAGGAGCTGCAGGAGAGCCGAAGGAGAGAAGAGGACCTGAATACCAGACTCCAGGCAGTGCAAGCTTCAGGAGCGGTTCAGGCAACTTTGGAGGAGATGGTGAACACGCAGAAGGCCATCTTGGAAGCATCTAAGAAGCCTGACAGGAAATTGACTTTGGTAGACAACCGCGGGTTGGCAAAACCAAACAACTATGATGGAAGTGCGGATTTCTTGCAATGGAAGATCCGACTTGAAGCGTTTGTGGAGTCAGTCCAT